GTTCACACTGCGACAAGAGATTCCGTCAGTCAGAACACCTGAAAACACACGAGAGGGTCCACACTGGAGAGAAGCCTTTCACATGTGATCAGTGTGGGAAGAGTTTCGCACGAAAAGGACACTGTAAGAGTCACATGAAAATCCACACTGGAGAGAAGCCGTATCACTGCCGTCAGTGTGGGGAAAGTTTCGCTTGGTTGAATTCTCTACTCAATCATACAAAAAACAAATGTCTAAAATCTGAGTAAGCAGTTCATCTTCAGATTCAGCAACACCGCGAACTTACCAAATGTGACAATGCATCAAGAAATATCTTCAATATAAATCTGCCGTAACCAGCTGCTACAAGAGACGGAACAAAGAAACATTATCATTATTAACATCATTAAAGTGAACAAAGTTCCAGCAGTTTCAAATGTGTTTCAGATCAACTCAAAAGATGGAAGTTTCTCCTAAAAGAGCAACTAAAAATGAAAACAAAAAAACAAATGACCATTCATTTTTTAATTACTTGAGCATGTTACTTTGTAAGAGACTTTTGGAGAAGCTTGTACAGAAATCAGAAGATAGAAACAAACCTACGGTATTATGATTCCTGTATATTTTTCACACGATTAACCCTGGGGCCTGTACCATGATAGTAGTTGAACAAACTCAGGGTTACTGGATTAATTTCGAGTTGACAACACCAAACTAGAGCCATAGAGAGAAAGAGTTGCGACACGATTTGATGTCGCCGCGACGGCTGTCACGTGGTTCATGTAAGCCCCAATAGTTCCAAAACATACGTGGGCTGTCATGTTCTTCTATGGACAGACAGCAGCGATTGCATTATTAAACGGTAAATATTAAATAAAACACACACCCAAGTACTTTTTCAGCTGTTATTGCATTTTGTTAATGTCAGTTTTGCATTTGGAGAGGCAGGGTGACAACTTAGATAAGTTTTAGGCTATATTTTTGGAGGGAAACGCTAGTGTTCATGTTCGCATGGGTAGTAGCACTGGCTTTAGCATCTCTAACTTAACTTTTCCATGTCATTCATCTGATGATGGACGTCTCGTGATATTTATTTTAGCACAACTGGGCTGTATTAGGCTATTGATTCCCGTGATCTTGCTTATAAATTCCGCTTCGTGATCACGCAAAGAGGTCTGCGGTCCGTTCAGAATTCCAACCAATATAAAATATAAATAATTACGCTGTGCATGTACAAATGAATGATTTAGGAGGGAAATAGACTGCTCCCATAACGTAGAAAGCAACGTTCGGTAAATATTCAACCGAAAAATATTCTTCATAAAATTAAACCGGAGAGATAGTTAATGAGTGAATTAACTGTTCCTAAATACATATAAGCACATATATGCATAACCCGTCCCTAACCCATTTAAATAAATGAATTGTGTGTGTGTGTATGTATATATAATATTATATATAGGCTATATATATATATATATATATATATATATATATATACATATAAAATATTATTAAAAATATTATATATTATATACATCAGTTACCGTAAGTTAGCCAACGTTAGTGAAGTGTTGGTCACGTAAGCTATCGCTGCAATTAACCTATTATCTTCCAATAAACATTTACTAAAACTGGCTACATAAAATATAACTACAGACTAGATTCACGAGAGGACGGCTAATGTGTATAAAAGTAAAAAAATACAGTAATTTCATTAATTTACCAGCGAGCGTACTTCGGAAGCACTGAAAATGAATGGGGTTCAATGGAGAAACTATCAGTGTTTGGAACTATCGGCTGCTCCACGACACGCGTTACTTCCGCATTCCAGAGTTCCTATGGCGGTCTATGGGAGTGTCGCAACTCTTTCTCTCTATGGCTCTGCACCAAACCAACCAGGCTTTGTTGGAACCATGATGCTGATCATCAACTTTCTCTCTCAACTAAAATTGTACATGTGTGATCGATTAAGGGTATGCTAATTACATAAATATTATCTAATCATAAAAAATTGTTATTCTAAATAAGCATTACTGAAAGCCAGACGATTTTGTCTTTAAAAGTCATTTGCTATGTAGTGACCTTTAATTTGGAGTAGAAACAGGTGGAGTGACTTTATCGCATCAGACGTGTGTCACTTTGCTCACTGCTGATTGGTCCAAGTTCGGTCTGCAACCTCTTACCTGGAACATAACCTGCCCCGGACCAGGTTAGCCGTGGAGCGTAAGCTACTATATGGTGATGAACACTGCTAAAAGCCAAACCACTTTCATGGTGCCTAAAACCCAGGGTTGGCGCAATATAAACTGAAACATACCTGGCTAGCCACCTAAACCGGCTTCATGGTATAAGGCCCAGGTTTAATATTTTTAGAATAAAGATTAGTTTTGATTGTGATCTGATTTCTACATTTTATTAGGCTAAGTACTTTGTTTCACTAATCTTAGTCATGTAATTTGAGAATATGTAGTTTAAAATTATGAAATGCAGATGCAAATGAAGTGTTATGAATAATTGTTTTAATGTTTTAATTTCCCAATAGAGCTTCTGAACGCCTAATAAATTATATTTCACCTGTATTTCAAACAACTTTCACTGTTTTACCCCTTTTTAAACACTTTTTTAAACACTTTTTAAAAACCCAAAATTATTTTGAAAGAATTTGTTCTAGTCAGGTAATGTGGACCATTATCATGTGGAATCAGAACAAGAACGGCACAGGTCAGCTCAAATTCTGAGGCTTTTTGCTAGCATGACAGTTTGCAAATGAATTAAGTGTTATTTGTATATATTGTTGAGATAATTATTCATTTAATATTCACTGAATACAAATGCTGAGGTGTCTCTCGTCCATCAGCTGATCTGATATTCCCAACTGTAATGAAGATGAACGTAACTTTTATTAAGCATTATTATTATTCCAGACTTTAAACAAATAATGATTTAAATGTTTTGAACATTTGCATTGTAAGAATGTACAGACTTCAGATATAAAAACACAGACTCGTTAATGTTTTCTCATAGAAAACAGGTGATTTCCATTAATTCAATAGAATTTGAGGGAATACCAATATGCCACCACGTGACGTTACTTGTCATGACTTACGATTTCTGCAGTATCCAGTATGTGCTATGTGTAGAATGCAGATTTTCTGTATTTGTCAGTATCTGCTAAATACAACTCAAAAACACTAAAATCGGTGTTCGGAATGGCATACTACCATACAACTACTATTTTACAATGTGTATATTGCGAATAGTATGTGAGTTTTCTGTATGCATGGAATTTGAGGAATTACCTACATTTGCTGAAATCTGATGTTTTCATCTGAAGACACTGCATGGGACCTGGCTGAGGTGGGATACTGTTTCCCACAACGCAACACACTTAACGGGAATAATTATAAATGTAGCCTAACATTTTTAGAAGTAGGCTACACGTTACACACTAGCTGTGTTTCCGACAACACTATCATTAAATAAATACTTTAATCTCTATGGCATTTTTCCTGAAAATAATGATTCAGTGATGCAAACAGAGTTCAATGCTTCAACAGAACAAGAACATAGTGTCGTTATTCATTGTTCAAAGTCCATTTAGTGTTGATCCAAATCGGTTCAATAACTGTGCAAATGTAATCAATTAGGAAATGATCAATTTATATCAATAACTTTTGTATGCTGACAAAATATAGTCTGCTTACCTAATGTAGGGCATAATCTACCTACCATATTCCTAAAATAATTATTTGTGATGTTTTGTAACCCAGCTATGAGTTATTTTATAATTAAAGTATTCTACACAGAAAGTGGTAGGTATGACTGCAGTAATAAGTTACCTGCATCCTTAAAATTATCCAGCCTAATAGTCAATTTCAAACATGATAATTATATTTTTAGCTTAAGTCAAACCAGTTAATTAATGTTATTACATTAAGTACATTTTTATTAAAAATATCCCTTACGAAAATTAACCATGGTTTTACTACAATAAAACTGTAGTTAACTATGACTGTAGTAACCGTGGTATTTTGGTGTGGTTACTGCGGTATCAAAACCATGGTTTTGATACCATGGTTCTACTACAGTAATATTGTAGTAATACTACAGTAAAACCATAGTAACCATGACTGTAGTAACTGGTATTTTTAAAAACCATGGTTTTGATACCTTGGTTCTACTAGTTATATTGTAGTAATGCTATAGTAAAACTGCAGTTTTACTAAATTATCTTGAATTACATATAAGCCATTTAATTACAACATCTACAAAATAAGAACGGAAAGAAGTTATCATTCTATGATACAGACTTTATTACAAAAATTACATAATCTGAAAGAAAATATAAACTTGCATTTGTTCTCACATGTGACAAAACAATAATTTGACTACAAAGTTATACAAATTTATTGGTGATAAAGTGGTGCTGTGCAATGGTAAAAAAAAACAGTTTCTTACAAATAACAAAAATAGCATTTTGTTCTACTGTAATAATGATTTATATACAAAAATAACATAGGCCTAGTACAAATAAACATGATTTAGAGCATCTTTAAATACACAGCATCTACCTCCTCTAAAATGTCTGTAACCTGTGAACACGTGTCCAACACAAGCATGTTTGCAATTTATACTGTACATACATTAAAAGGATTACAGCAATATTACTTGACAAGAACAATAAATACTATAAATTCAGAAGAAATGAGCCGATCTTTTAAGAATGTTTTAAATGATATCCACTCACAAGAGATGAAGACAGAGTCTCCTCATGGGGGATGAATAATCCACACTTTAAATTGGCTTTATGCACAGCTTCACTACTTCCTGAACTTCAGCCAGCCCTTTGTTTCCTGTCTGCCATTATTGGACAAACTGATTAATCCAGGTGTGCCTGGCCTCAGTAACAATAATCAGGCACACCTGGATTAATCAGTTTGTCCGATAATGGCAGACAGGAAACAAAGGGCTGGCTGAAGTTCAGGAAGTAGTGAAGCTGTGGCATTAAGCCTATTCTAGGTGAAAAAGGTTTTGTTGAAAAACATGTGATGCCGCATCCATGCCAGTAGGTGTCAGTATGAAGTCTGTCATATGGCCAGTAGGTTACAGTCCAGCTTTGGTTTGGTTCTGTCTCGACCTTCAGCCCAAATGGACGCAGGAGCTAAAATGAGAAGAATACACACCACATTAACACACAAGCTGGAATACTCAACTGCTATTGGTCAGTTGCACTATCGAGTAGCCATGTAATAATGTCCAAGTGTAATAATGTCCATTCAGCCAGTGTTTTCATAAATAACTCATACAGTATTAGGGCTCCAAAAGCCAAGCAGAAATAATGTAGTTAATGTTTAACACCGGGTTTCAATACCCATCCCTACATATGGGTGAGTTCATATGGATGAAGGCCTGTTGTGTTCTGTCTCTTGGTTTGTGATAGTGGCAGCTATTGTGAAACTCACCTTCGTCATGTACTGAGTGTGGATGGCATCAAGATCTTGTCCTGAAGAATCACAGGGCCAAACGATTATATCTCATCTGGTAACAAGAGCATAGCCATAACTTTAAGATCCCTGAATTAAAGAATTTCAGTATTTATCAGTAAAAAATACATAAAAATAAATAAATACCTTTGAGTTGGACAGTATGTTGTCTGTCTCATTGGCCAACATAATTAAAAACACACCTAGAGAAATAAAATAAAATATACCAATGACCATGATATCCTGTTATCATAATAGTTAAATTAATTATTATAAATATGACCATTATAACATTTGCCGTGGATTATTTGGCTGATTATTTAGCCTACAGGCTTCTCAAGGACAGTCTCACTGAAAAAAAAAAATGTAAAGTGTGAGACTTCATTCAAAAGCATAAATCCTACAGACCCCCAACTTTTGAACAGTAGTGCACTGTATGTTTAAAGTTTTGCTTACTAGTCGAGTTCATAGTCGTGGAGATTTTCTTGGACGGGGTGCAGCAGGCCATCAGCATGATGATGATCTTCTAGAACATAACATACAATGTGTCACAGAGCCAACAATGTTGCATAGGGTTTATTACAAGGAAGCAAGCTAGAGCAGAGATGAAATGCAGAAAAGAGAAATAATATATATATATGAAGAGTTTGGTTCCAAAACGCAATAAATCCATTTAGATTAATTTGAGTAAAAATGTGTTTTCTTTACCAAGAAAGTAAAAAGATGAAAACCACTATTTTCTGTTTCAAACTTTCACATTGCATTTGTAGGTCATAATAACAAAAAAAAAAAAAAAAATCCAGGTTTTGATTTTCAAAGTTTATTATAAAAACGGATAATTTTTTTCCCCAACATGCAATAAATCCATGTTTTTTTTTCAATCAAAATGCAATTAATCCATTGAATCAATATAAAAGTTTTCTTTTTCATATTGAAACTGTTGAAAATACACAACAACGTAAGTTTATTAGTATAATATTTTTATTAAGAACTGTAAAGAAGATTGAAAACATTTTTCCTCCTCCCGAGTGCCTCATCTTCTTAATCTCCTCACATAAATGATTCGATTTCGATGCCTTACATCTCTTACCCACCGCAGAAACAATCACAGGTTCATCAATGCCGTCAAAATTATTCATTTTTTGTTTGTTTGTTTATCGAAAAGTGCAAAATAGATAAGAAAAACTAGGAAGCCGGGTGTATTTAAGACGCTGCCGTTACTGTTTACATTGCGTGGAATGCTGCGTTGTGATTGGTTGAGAGCGGATATATCGCATTCTGCAGAGAAGGGAGACTGGCGTTTGTCGCGGTTTGGAAAGAAAGGGAGAAAACATGACAGAATAACACGGCGGATATCGCATTTTACTTAAAATTAAACATTGACTTTTCAATACCAACCAGATACAATACTGATTTTTGCAGTAACTAATTTTTTTTTTAAAAATGGCGTTTATCGCGTTTTGGAACCAAACTCTTCATATATACAACTTAAGGTAATAGAGGGGTTACACCAACGTCACGTTCTGGGCGGTAACCCGGATGCGCGGCCATTATGGAGGCACTCGGATGTAAACAACAGCATGGATTGCACTGTTTATGTACTACTGAACACATTGTTATACTAATAAACCACGGAAAAAACACGTGGTAGGTGCGAAATCATATAGAGAAGGACTTGGGAAGCAAGAGAGAGCGCAACATTTTGACAAACTAAAGTTAATATGTGGTAAAGATCCGAACGAGTTAGGTTCTCTAGCACGTAACATTACTGCAATTCTTCCATCTATTTATTATAATACCGACATAGGATACGGTCAGATTGTCAGTCCAAAAAAGCACATGAAATCCGTTTCAAGTTACATCCATATGTGGTTTGAAATCCTATTCAAATCACATATCAGGACATCAGCCTCAGTCTGAACGATCGGATTTCGCGTGGTATGTCTTAAAATGCAAACGTCATTTATAGGATACATGCTGAAAGTCACTGTCGAAATAATGCTGTGTTGTTGCAAAGTGCCGGACGAGCAGAAAATTATTATTTCTGAAACCAGCGCAGACGAGCGTGGGAAAAAAGCCGTACATGCAGCCTCCTACAGTTCTGCCGCAGTAGTCCAGCGCGGCGGCTACACATTTCCATTTGTAACATTCAAAAAAGACAACATCTAACATTATATTGCAAATGCAACCCCCTTATCAACGCAAAGTCATTGACATATTACCAAATAACATGCATGGACACACACGTCGGATCCGAACAGTTGCGATACACAGTGAGGACATCATTTTAGATCAGATTCCAATTTGATACAAAGATAATCGGATTTGGACTGACAGTGTGAATGTAGCCATAGTTAACTAGGTCGACATTTTAGCCATAGTCAACGCTTCATCATTTAGCAGCTACATGTGTCTGATGCTGTACCTCTCTCAACCACAAACGCCTTCTTTCATCAGTTTTTTTGCACTCTTCTCTTTAACTTTTGATAGTCTATAGCACTCGACATGTTTTTTCCCGATGTGACCGATTGGCACAGACCAAAACTCGACCATTTTTCAGCTGCAATAATCAGCCAAATTTGCGAGTCCATTCAGTTCAATGGCATTATTTACGTTCCTTGCCTCCAAAATGGCCGACTTCCGGATTGATGACGCGTCGTGAAACCCCTCTATATATATTGTGAAATAAATCATCTGGAATTATTATCATGATTAAACAATAATTTCCCCTTTGTTGTGGAGGGTTTTTTCTGTCCCTCCTGAAATCCCTTTTTTTTAATTATCGGTATTTGTAAGTGACGTCACTGATTAACAGTAACCGTTACAGTGAACTATTTTAGGTTAAATAGCTTACTTCTAATCACCCATTGACAAATTACCAGCAAAACAAAACTATCAAAAACTGTTATCAACACAAAAATATGGTTAAAACCCCAAACTTATGTAAAAAAAGAGCTCCAGTGTAACGTTAAATTAACTTACGTTACCTCTTCTGAAAACAGTTGAGATGCTAACGGACTTTTTCGAAGACACAAAACCATTTCTATAAAGTAAATATTCAACAGAGCGTATTAATTACACGTAAGAAGGGTGTCAGGAACGTTTGTATCTATTATTAGTGTGATTTTGTTAACTAAACTTACCTGAAAGCAGCGAAAACAACAGCGAGAGACGTTAGTTTTGCTGTGTCAGTTGATGACGTTTCCTCGTTTCCATCTGATCGCGCGCACGCTCCTGTCTTTGAATGCGACTCGAATGTTTACGCGCACGCGCATTAAAACCAGAACACTTCAAAGGCACGCAGCATTTAAATAAACATCTAGAATTATAACATTTTAAATCATGATTTTAAAACTCATTGTGTAGTTCTATGACCCATTCACTTCTATATTTTTCATACCATCACTTTGCTTTTGCTTTTATTTTTATTATATACCCGGTATACCTATTTTTCCTCCCATTCCCCATTCCTGTCACACTTATAACGGGACAAACATGTCAAGTGCTGAGAATTCAGTAGGCTAAGTATATATTGTGACACTGGACCTCAATTTATTTATATATATTATTTTATTTATTCAATTTTATTTATATATATATATATATATATATATATATATATATATATATATATATATAAATGAAGCATGGGTAAGCATAAGACATTATTAATATATATATATATATATATATATATATATATATATATATATATATATATATATATATATAAAACTATTATAATAAGATTATTTATGACATTAAGATTATTCTATTAAGAGTAATAAATAGCTAAATCTGTAATAAATATATACTGTAGTAAAACCATTCTTCATTTTGTAGTTGGTTCTGCTGCAAATGCTGTGGTAAAACCATGGTTCATTTTTGCATTTACTCTGGTTTTACTACAAAACAATATTAATCATGGTTACTGTAGTAAAAACCATGGTTATTTTCGTAGTTACTATGGTTTTACTACAAAAACCATGGTTCATTTTATGGTTACTATGGTTTTACTACAAAAACCATGGTTAAACCAAGGTTATTGTAGTAAAACCATGGTTCGTTTGTAGTTACTATGGTTTTACTACAAAAACCATAGTTAAACTATGGTTTATTTTGTAGTTACTATGGTTTTACTACAAAACCCATAGTTAAACCATGGTTAAAACCATGGTTAATTTTCGTAAGGGATTTGTTGTTGAGCATATCAACTTAATTAATTTTAAGTGAAAAACATTTCATTTCACAGAATCAACTTGACTTTACACCAACAAACATAATTGTTATAAGGTAAGATCAAGCCTGTTGGTGAGGAAAGGTTTCAATCAGGCTTGCACATACATTTATTTGTAAGGTAACCTGGACAGATATGCAGAGTTAATTTTCAATGATTGTCATGTAACTATAGCGTACGAAAAATTATTTGTTGAATATTGTAAATACTATTTCACACACTATTCTTAAGAATAGTATGCTCGGTGTATATTATGCAGTAAGCAGTAAGTTAGTGTGCCATTTCAGACACAGCCATTAGTCGTGTTTGCATAATTTTCGCCTCGCATTGATGACGTCACCGCCAACGCAATCACTGCGCCGATTCTCTTCTGATGTGAGGTAAGCAGTTCACAGTTCTTCGTATATTTATACTATTATAAAAAAACAGCATGTCAAAGCAACATTTACAGGGTCATTTCTGTATTGTTTTCATTTAGTACAGAGCTATTTGTGCGGGTTTTTTTTTCTGGCGTCTGCTGACTGAAATATACATATAACGTTAGCCTAGCAGGCAATGAGGAACTAAAGTTAAATTAATTAATTAAATCATCTGTTTTTGTATGTTAGTCTGTATGATTATTTCGATGTTTGGAGCAGTGAGGGGTTTGTCACTGAATGTTACTTGATCCAAAAAAAATAAAAATAAAAAAAGTAGTAAAAGTTATGGATTAATGAGAATCGATCTCGAGAATGACGATATAACTAAAAAGGCAAAAATGTGTTGTAAATTGAACTATATTTAGGTTCATATGCTGCTGTATGGTAGTTATTATAACTGGTTAATGAAACGGTATCTCCCCGATACGACTTAATAAGTGGGAGTGTCACAATAAACAATTACCTCTTCATGTAAAAAAATAAAATAATAATAATGTAAAAAAATAGACTGACCAACAGACACAATATAGATATTTAGAATATGTGAATTTGTTTTAAAACAAATGAAATAACTTTACATTTTGATAGTTGGATAAATAAAGAATTAATGAGAATTAATGAAAATATTTATTTGATAACTCATTTATATTTGTTTTTGGCAGCTCTGCTCCTCCCCTTCATCGAAGCTAGTTTCACAGCGTTTAAACCAATAAATGCTGGAATATACCCATTATTCTACAAGTGAAGGAGACAGAGTTTGAAAATGAACATTGAAAACATGAATTATCCAGAGCCCTGCAGAATAAAACAGGAAGATACTGAAGAACGAAGAGCTGATCCAGAACCCGGCAGAATAAAGCAGGAAGACACTGAAGA